GTTTTGTGGAGGATGATGGAGTGTCTTTTCAGTTGACAAACTCATTCCGTCGCCCCAAGGGTGGCACAATCAGACAGTGGCACCTGTCTGCTGCACCCACTCCTTGGGGGGAAGTGGAGGTCAGTGAATCCTTGAATGATACGTGGGTGTATGACAGATCCTGTGCAGGTGCACAGGGATGTCGAACTTCAGTCACCTTTGTTCATAGTGAGTGATGGAGCCTCAGCAGACAGCTAATTGGGCTGTCCTCGAGGCAAGGAAGAGGAGGGGCAGCCGCTTCCTCCTCCCAAGGTTGCCCTCGGAGCTGCTGGCCCTCCACACGGCCGGCGCTCCGAGGGCAACCTCCCGCCGCAGCGTCCGCACATGCTGCGGCGGAAAAGTCAGCGAAAGTGCACCCTACGCTTTTAGGGCGCACTTTCACTGACTTCTGAAAGGAGCGCTGATTTTGCGCTCCTTTCAGAGGCGCCGATGGTGCACCGCAGTGCGGATGCCGCGGTCCCACGGTGCACCGTCCTGTGGTGTCCTGGAAGCACTCGTCTGCTTCCCCCCATAGACTGTATAACCATCCTATAACAGGTCCTGTGCAGGTGCATAGGGATGTTTTTCTTCATAGATGCACAGGTGTGGAGAGATGGTCCTGCGCACCTGCACATGCATTTGAGAACAAAAAAATTAAAGCAGCTGCTGCTGGTCCATGCAGTTGCTCCGTCTCCCTTTGCGGTGTCCTTGGGACTGGCGATGCTGTTGCTGGGGCTTCAATACAGCCTCAGAAAAGCTGCATTGACTCCCCCCAGTGCGGTTGCTCCGTCTCCATTTAGGGCAACCTCAGGGCAGGCAGTGCGGTTGCTGCAGCTTAGGGAAAAGGCAACTTCAAGTCATACGTAATGGTACTTTCAGAAATAAAGGTGCAAATAGGAAAGAACACAATACACAGCTTTTATAAATTCAAACAAATACCTTTGGGGAAAGGTAGTTTATTCTATCAGAGGATCTGATTACTTCAGAGCATAGAAAGTTTCAGGCTTCTGCCACACTGCAGAATTAATGAAGGCCCTCTGCAGACCAGGGCGTTTGGGACGCCCTGGTCCGGAGCGCCGCGGGGCTATGGCAGCCCCACCGCGGTGCTCCTAGAGCGGCCCTGAAAGGAGCGCCAAAAAGGCACTCCTTTCATAAGTCGCAAAAAGGGCGCCCTAAAAGCGGCGGGCGCCCTTTTTGCGACTCATCCTCCACAGCGCATCCGGACGCTGTGGAGGGAGGTCGCCCTGAACGCGTCCGGCGTGCGGTGACCCGGAAGGGTTCAGGGCGACCTCAGGAAGAGGAAGGGCCGCCGCGCGTGCGGTGGCCCCTCCTCTTCCAGGCCTCGGAGACCGCTCAATTGAGCCGTCTGCCGAGGCAGGAAGTTTGACAGCACTTTAACTTCCATGGCTCAATGCTATGGAATCCTGGGATTTGCAGTTTGGTGGGGCACCAGAGCTCTGTGACAGGGAAAGCTAAATAAAAAGCAAGAAATAGGGAAACAGCTGAGCAATTGTTTAAAGGACCCAATAGCGGGAAATTTGAAATCAGAGCCAGCAACTAAGCGCAAGCACAGAAATGGTGCTTGCCATGCACTCCGACCTGTGAGAGGGGGTGCATATTCCACCACTCGGCCCACCCTCTGGCCATTCATCCCTCCCTTCAGGAAGCCTCGAACAGGATCAGATGCAAGTTTACATTGGCAGCACCCTGACAAAACCCTTCCCCCCCCCAAAAGACATGGGGGGAAACTTGATATCAGAAAACCCGCAATGAGGGGTATTTGCCCTGGGCCCACCCCTATTTTGGTGCACAAAACCTGGTGCCAGTGTGAACTACAGTTGCCCCTCCATTTTCACGAGGGATATGTTCCAGACCCCTCCGCAAAAATGGAACCCCCTGCATATTCAAGCCCCATAGGCTTGAATAGAGGTGCGGAGGCATGGGGGCATGTGCCCCTCTCTTTGTATGCCCCTCCATCTGTGCCTCATACATAAGTGAGGGACACAGATCCAAAGTCCGTGAAAATGGAGAGGCAAACCAGTTTATAACAGCCCTCTGAGTTTTCCTGAAAGATACGCATCTTTGGTAATGTGAATACTTTTCTGAATCAATTTGGATCTCTCTGCATCAATCAAGGGAATAGAGGCACCTCTATTTTATCCCCAAACAACGGCGTGTGTGAATAATAGGGTTAAAATGACTCTGAGAGATTCAGGAACCCAAAATGTGATGGGAACAATGATCCAGGTATGCATCAGTGCAGTGATCTCCTTGGGACAAAAAAGTGAGTGTGAATGAGTCCTAAACCTGGAGGGCTAAGTGAGGGATCCTTTCACACTACAGTTATACCACAATGATTCCACTTTAACTGCCATGGGTGTATCCTATAAATCCCATTGTGGGGGGAAGGCAGCATATAAATCTTTGAAATAAATGAATAATTAAATAAATAATTTCTATGTTTTGTTGTTTAGGGAGGCACTAGTGTTCTCTGGCTGAAATTTCTAAATAGCCCTCCCTACACTGCAAATCCCATAGGATACACCATGGCACTTAATATGGACTCATTGTGTTAGAAGTGTATGGTGTGAAAGGGACCCAGTTATCTGGGGCAACTCATTGTTGATCAGAACTTAATATGCATATGCATACAAACAGACATACAAATGCGCGCACACACACACACGGGTGGATTGGTGCAGGCATTTGCCTTTATTAGCACTCTTCTGTCTTAGTTTATAAACTCTTGCATAGTTTTGCAGTTTTAATGTTAGCCTGGGTAACTGATACTGTATCTATGCCCTGTATTGCAACTATGTCTGTCCATGCTAGTGAATATGATATGAGAGCCCTGATCATGGCTGTGACTTGTGCAATCTTGCTTCCCCGAAGCATTCCATCTACTAGAGGAAAGGTTGTCCAGAAATCAAGCAGTCGGAAAAATATGCCTCTGCCTCTCCCACATGGCCAAATTGCAGACTGCCTCTCATTTTACATTCTTACTATAGGTCACATGGGTTTCCTTTCCAAAAGGGTATCGATATCATAGTAGCAGGAGTTAAATAGCTTCCAAACCAGTGTCTCTTTATGAAAAGGGAGAGAAAAATTCATTCCCTTGTCTCCCAAGCTAGAAACCTGCAGCTATACAACAATTATGTCTCCTTGCAAAATCTAGATTGACACTGTCATATTTAACTTGAGCCTTCACTGCAGTTTAACAGCCAAATCTCAAATAGTAATAGCAATAGCAGCTTCATTTATATACCACTTCATACCGCACTATGCAGTCTCTATGTGTTTTACAACTGTGAGCACATTGCCCCCAACAAGCTGGGTACTCATTTTAGCAACCTCAGAAGGATGCAAGCCTGAGTAGAGCCTGAGCCCTGGCTGGTATTGAACTCACAACTTTGTGGTTTGTGAGTGGCTGCAGCACAGGCATTTCACCACTGTGTCACCAGAGCTCAAATACAGTGGGCCCTTGGTATCCACTGGGGTTTGGTTCCAAGAATCCTCATAGATGCCAAAATCCATAGTTGCTCAAGTCCCATTAAGTACAATAGCATAATAAAATGGCATGCCTTATATAAAATGGCAAAATCATGGTTTGCTTTTGGGAATTTATATTTGTTTTGAATATTTTCAAGCCATGGCTGATTGAATTCATGGATAAAGGATCCATGGCTAGGGAAGGCCAACTGTACCATGATCATGAGATATTTTACAACAGATGAGGCTTGTGATGTGTTTCAACCACTGTATGATTTTGATCCTTCCAGCTACTGGGCTGTGTTATTTTCTGAAGGATTCCTTGAACAGTCCTGAAAACTAGGAACTTGTAGTCTTGTGCAGTAATCTCAAAGGAAAGCTGAGGTGGTGAATTTCATTACAAGATATTCTTAGGGCCTCTACAGATGGCGCAAAGCGCCGTCTTGGAGGCAGGAAAGGAGAGGGGCAACCACATGCTGGGCGCACCAAACCCTTCCCAAGGACGTTAT